GTAAAATTTTTCTCCTTGTTTGGGTAGGAGGTGAAAGAGGAATAGAAATAAAATTATTGACGAGTAAAAGATAGTAATAACCCTATTATTTATAGAAAAGTAATTTGGTCACTTTCTAAAACTAATTTTTGCATTGATTCCCATTACATACGTTTTTACCTGAAGATTTTGGCCTTCAAGGGAGAAAGGCCAAAATGATTCCACTTCCTGCCTATACCATTACATCAATTAATACTATCCCAAACGAGAGTCTAACATTCCTATCCCTCAATTTTTCATTCCATTCCATTCCCTCCTCGCTTTCCCAAACATACCTGAGGGCTTAGAGAAAATAACTACAACCAGTTACTAGCAACAGCACAACAGCAAACATTTGCCACACAAATATCTCACATTCATGGCTTAGTGCCTAAATACCTTTTCAGGATTCAGTATCACGTTGATTTCAGGAACTCCTTTCTCAAGACCACCTTTCACGTCAAGAGCCCTTGTCTTGAACGACCTGCATTGTGTGCTATGACAACAAAAGAAAGAAACTTTAAAAAGATATTGATAGAAGAAAATGACGTACTTTTGTTGGGAATGTAGAAAAATAGAAGTAGCAGCAAGCAGAAGTTAACCAAAAGAGAAGAAAAAAAAAAGTAAATTCAAACCCTTTCATGCATTTCTCAACAAGCAAGCAAGAATCCCATATTCATATTTGTTCCAATCATTGCTTAAATTCCTAACTCACAAGTTTACATGAAGAAACAGTAATAATAACTAAAAGCCAAGACATTCTTGCCCACTTTCTACCACCATTTTCTCAAGAAACAATTTTTCTAATGATACAAATGAGAATAAATTCTGAGTCCTAAGGAATTAAATCTCAAAATCCTGAATAAAAAAATTAAAAATAAAGATAAAAGAGAATCCAATAGGTTAACTCGAGCCTTGTACGAGAATCATACTTCGGTTTAAGAGACATCTCCCTCTATATTCTCGAAACCGTGACTAAGTTAGGCCTATTTTGATGCTTTATTTTTTCGGGAGCCAAACTGAAAGCTGAGGCGCAAACAACAGTCAAAAAGAGAGATTTGACCTAACAGAAAAGAGATAAAGCAATCACTTGGATGATTTTCAGGCCTATTTTGCATTTGAAGGAATCTTAACAAGAAACCAGGTTAACAAGGAACACGAGCAGTCAAAAGTAGTTCACCATATGCAATTTTCATCCACTTTTGAGAGAAATGTAAATAAAACTCACCAATGCTCAACCACAATAGTCTTATTCTTTGACCTATCAGGACCAACCTCCTTTGCGGATTCACCAGTATCCTTAGCATTCTCCACGGCTTTCGCTTTCTTACTCCTGGGCTTGGGTAACTCCCTAGTTGACGCGGTAGACTTAGAAGGTGCTCCCTTAGCTTTAGCCATGCTCCGAGTCACCCTAACAGACGCGGCGGCTTCCGGCTCCATTTTGTCTTCGTCGGCCTTCCGTTTCCTGGGCGCCATCGAAGAAGAGCTCGAGAAAATCCTCCTTTCCTTTCTTCCTTGAAATCTTTCTCAGTAAAAAACGAAGGTGAGACTGGGGGATGTTGCTTTTCCACTAATGGGTGTTGGTGGGATATTATTGTGATTGGCATTTTTCTGCCCGCGCTTTTCATCGATTGGTGGATTTGAACAGACGGCCTGATCAAATTTTTCTGACGAATCAAGACTGTTACATCACGATAAAAGGATTGAAAGGCCAAGATTGTGCCACGTCAAAATATTTTTCCATGATTTTGGGAAAAATGGATTCAGCAATGCAGTTGAGTTTGCCGACTCCGTAAATGTTATGGTTCAAAAGTTTTGAGGCTTTTTATAAATGTGATTTTGATTAATTTTAAAATATTTATAAAGTCTATCAAATTGTGTATACTTTCGAAGCACATTATGACTACTCTAGGAAATGAATATCAATAAAAAAAAAAAAAAAAAAACTACTATCAATGCTTCTCAAATTCCAAGTGTTTTTAAATACTGTTATTTGAAGAAACAAAAATCGAATATCTGTTTAAAATATTTATTGATACTTAAATTACCAAAATGTTATAAGAATAGAGTAAACTAAAATAGAAGTTGTTTATTTGATAAAATAGATGTAAATATTAAATTAATATTCAATATATATATAAAAAAATTAATTTAACTAATTATTTCTATGGTAATATTATTACATATATGTATTACGTCAGTACATACTGTGAGATATAATATATAATATATTTATACAAATAGAGAGATGATTGAAATATGTTTCGTGTATTAATTATTTTGTTATATATTTTCATTATGAAATTTTGTTTGATAGTTTCTTAATTATAAATATTATTATATTTTATATATTGTGTAAATATATGATTGTAAGTTTCCATTATAAAATTATTTTCTTACTGAGCTCGTGAAACTCATCTTAATTCACTTCCGTTTTAGATTAGAAAAGATGATAAACAAATCAAAGATTAATAGAAGATTGTGAAGAAACCTTATTAGTTTTTATTTTAGAATTATAAATTAATGGTATCTCATATATATATAAATAAATAATTATTCTGTTACAAGAGAATTATATTAGTACATAGTACCGCTGCATATATGATATTTATTAGTTCCATTAATTAAAAATTATATAGTAGTATCCATACCCATCGACATTGGAGTTCAGGTTATTATATTATCATCTTTAGATATTTATCCTATGTTTGATGTCAAAAAATATTGTCAGTTACACCATAATGCTTCCATCTTCTTTTTTTTTTCCTCTTATCTTCCTTTTTCCCCCCACCATTTATCTGGTTTGAAGTAGCTACACATCAACCTTTATGCTTCTCCTTTCCATCTATTTCATCTTCAGATTTCCTCTACCCACTAGCCAAGATAAGTCAACAACCTCATCATCCTCTTTTCCTCTTTATATCCATCTTCGTTAAATCAATTGATGACTTGACCTAAATCTGCCAATAATCTTCTTCTGTTTTTCAAGGTCTTTTACCTCTAACCATGCTTCTCTAAAAGTAGAAAGGTTTTTGAAAATATACCTACTTTGTAGCTCTTGAAAGTCTACCTACTATTGGTATCCAAGAAAAAGACAATTATAATTAGAATAGGTTGGAACAAATGAGATTTATGATAGAGTTCTATGTAAGCGTTTGAAGTGTTATAATTGTGTTTTAAATTTTAAAAATGTTATTAATTAAAAGTGTTTTTAATAAAAAAAAATTATTGGTACTTGATAAAAATAAGTAAAAAAATATTGTTATTTAAAAAATAGAAATTTTGTATTTAATAAATTGACTTTTGAAATTGAAAATATAAATTTTTAATAAAATTCAAAACTATATTTTAAAAACTACATATTTAACTTTGGTCATTATAAAAAAATACTTAATATTATGAAATTGAAAATAATAGCTTGATTTTGTATTGAATATAAATGAGGTATATATACACGTACAATCTCAATTAACGGTCAATTAAATATTCTAATTCTAATCAATTACCTTATTTGTAGGATTTAATTTGATTGACTATCAAACATCTAATTTGTGAGATTTAATTCGATTGATAGTAATTACACAATTAATTCCTCTAATATGCCCCCTCAAGATGGAGCTCTTGTGGAGAGTTCAATCTTGGTTTTTAAAAGTTGAAAGCGAGTGTGTGGAAGAGGTTTGGTCAAGACATCTGCTAATTGATCTTATGATGACACATGGGTGACACGTAAAGCTTTATTTTGGACTTGATCCTGAATAAAATAATAATTAATCACAACATAATTTATCTGTGAATGGAAGATATAATTGGAATAAAGATGAGTTGTACCAACATTGTCACAATAGATAATCGGAGCAGCAGGAAGATAAATGTCAAGCTCAGTTAGAAGAGAATAAATCCAATGCAACTCAGTAGTTGTAGCAACAACAGAACAACATTCAGCTTTAGTGGAGGATTGTACAATTATAACTTGTTTTTTAGAGAACCAGGATATAGGATTTGCGAGCAAGGTAAACAATATAAGCATTGGTGGAGATGTAGGCCTTCTTATTACTAGCTCAGTCAACATCTGAGAAGGCATAAAGAGATAGAGATGTATGACAGTGTAGGGCAAGACCATGATCAATTATACTAGAAAGATAACGAAGTAAACACTTGACAACATTCCAATGATCAGTATTAGGTTGATGTATGAATTGAGACAACTTATTAACAACATATGTAATATCAAAGTGAGTGAGGCACAAGTACTGAAAACTTCCAACAACTGCTCTGTATTCAGAAAGATCAGTCAAAATAATTATGGATAGAACTGTAAGTGTTGGCTCGGTAGCAAGTGGAGGGGTGATAGATTTGTCCCCTGTCACATTTATGTGAAAGAGGATATGTGATATACTTCCACTGAGAGAGAAATAAACTAGGGGAATTATGAGTAGCTTCAACACCCAGAAAGTAAGTCAAATCACCAGGATCTTTGATGGAAAATCCTTTATTTATAATATTACTAACCCGTTGAACTACAGTGATATTGTTTATAGTAATAGTTATATCATCAACATACACAAGGAGATAGAGTAGAGTACAGCTAGTGTTGAGGGCAAAGAGTGATGTGTCTGCATGAGAGTTTGTAAACCTAGAGGCAATAAGAAATTGTCTTATCTCATTGTACTAGGCTTATGGTGCTTGTTTGAGATCATATATAACATTGTGTAATTTACAGACATGCGTAGGATTATCACAATCAAGAAAACCTGGTGATTATGCCATGAAAACATCTTTAAAGAGATGAATTCATAGAAAGACAATGTTGACATCAAGTTGACGAAGAGACCACCCACGACTACCAGCAAGATTGAGGACTAATTAAATAGTGGTAGATTTGACAACCAAATTGAATATGTCATGATAATCAACACTAAGACGCTGATAGAACACTTTAACAATTAGTCGAGATTTATACCTGTCGATTGAGCCATTAGGTAAACATTTAATTCTAAAAATCCATTTACAACAAACAAGATTTTGCGTTGAATTAGGTGGGATAAGTTCCCATGTTCCATTTCCACACAAGAGCATCATACTCCTCATACATAGCTTGATGCCATTTAGGATCTTTGAGGGCTTGGGTCAATGTGTGTGACTCAAGTTGATAGTTTGAGGTGATGATAGTGGTAAGATTGAGTTTTTGGGCGGGTTTATGAATTTTGCTTTTAACGTGTGTGGTCATTATGTGTGTAACACCCACAAAATAATAATAATAAAATAAAATAAAAATTGTGTATAATTAAATAATTAATAAATATAATTTTTTATTAATTTATTTTATTTTGTTGTATTTTATTTTATTTTATTTGGGATAAAAATGAAGTAAAAATTGAATGAGGATGAAATTAAAAATAATTTTGGGAAAATGGATAAAAATTTGGGTTCTTGTGGTATTTTTGAAAGAAAAATCAGAAACAAGGGGTTAAAGTGCAATTTGAAGAAGTTTTGCCACGTGGGATGCCCAGTCAGCAGCCTTAACGAACCAGGACGCGCCACGTGGCAACAGGCACTAATGCGGTGCCACGCTGGAAGCCGCGCAGGTGATCCGCGTGTTCACGATCGAACGGCCCAGGTTCCTTCCTGCGCGCACGAATGGCCTAGATGTTCTCCCTCCCAAACGGGATCAAACAACTAGATTCAAACACGATCGGATAGCCCAGAGTGAATCGCGATGGACGGTCTAGATTGGATCATGATGAATGGTCCAAATTCACTCCCTATTTAATTACGATCGGACGGTCCATATCAAATGCGATGGATGGCCCAGATCAAAAGCGAATGAATATAAATAACCCCCATCTGCACCAAACCCTAACCTTAGCCGCCAGACCCCCTCGCTGGAGAAGACGACCCAACCGCCGGGGAGCCAATCGCCGTCATCCACCACCGCACTGGAACCATTTCTGACCGCCAAAAAAGGTAAAAATTTCTCCTTTTGCATGAAATTCAATTTAAAGCTCATTCACAGTCAAATTGGAGAAAAAAGATTGGCCAATTGGTCAAAAAATATTAGTGAAGCTGCCGTGGGAAATTTCTCAAAATACCTCCGATGAGGCCCTTCCCGATTCCCACTCTGTGTAATTTTTTCACCGTTGTGATCACTGTGTCCTTCTTTATAGGTTGACCGGAGCAAGACACCCAAACACAATGTGAGCTGGAGGAGCCGCCGCACTAGAGAGCCCCTCTGCCTGTGAGTTTCAGTTTTTCATGTTTTTTGGGGCCAATCGAGGCCCTTTAATGTGGTTTCTCATAGGGATCAATGCAAAATCAGCTGAATTCAACTGAAAACAACCGACCCGTCACCGTAGCATGATAGAGCCACCGTGTCAGAATTCTGAAATTGGCCGAGTGGGCCCTGGGACTGATTTTGAGTTTGTTTGAAAGATTGAAAAATTGAGGTATGATTACATTTCCTGATGCATGTTTGTTTACTTATGTGATCATAGTTGATTTGAAAAATGGAGACTAAAAAAAATGAGAAAGTTGTGTGGTTAAATAAACAGATGGAACGACAGCCTTACTAGATATCCTGGGAGATGGT